CATTCCTACTCAACTTTGCCTGTAAATCTGTGAATAAACACTGTAAGCTCTTGGGGCAGATTGTTTCATTGTCTAGGCACAGCTTTAGAGCAGGGTCACACAGTTCTGAGCATAATATCAATCAGTTATAGTCACTCAAAAATGAGATCACGATTTTCTCTTACATTTCTTAGGCAGTGTGTTTCTCGCTCTATTATTCATTTTTGCATTACATGTTGTCTTCTTGAAGCAAAAGACAGCACATTCATTTGAGGTTTCCAGTCCACTCAACTTTTATAGCTCATTTTTAACGTTGCCAAAATGATCTTACTGTATGTTGGTAAAGCAAAGAGGACAAATGTGTGCTGAGAAAGAGGATTGTGAAAAGGGAATCAGGCAAAAGTTCCCCCCCAACACTTGGTTAACATTAATTTGCTCATGTTTAATGGCACCAATACACAAAAATAAACTAAAATGTCTGTGCTGGCTTTTTTCAAAAAGCTGTAAAAAGCCAAGGTCATGAATCTCTCATCGCATTGTTTAACAGGCACCACAGTCACAATCAGATCCTCTGATAGTGACTACAACAGTAAATGTTGAGGTAGTGAAAGTGCTTTGTGGGAAGTTATGATAAAGTAGGAATGTCTCATACACAGATGTTGTAAAATGGCTGTATTTATAATAAAGCTAAATTAAAAGCGTTCATATCACCAGGAAAGGGTTTTAACAGTGGTATAGCAACTTTGCAATGGCCTGTGGTAGCTAAATTGTTACAAGCTTGAGTAGTCATGCATTTTTCAAACCCATAGTTTTATTTTAAGTTGGCAGATATTAGATGTAAAAAGCTGAACGTGTGGGGAAATGTTCATAAAGTGATTCACATGACATCAAGGATATTTAAATTTCACAGAAGGGTGCAAGTATTTTAATTATATTGAGCATTACTGCTTTAAGTGTTGGAACAAACATACAGAATGTATATTTTAGGAGATTTTTGCAAGAAAAACTCAAATTTGAAGAAATTAAATTATCATCTTAAGATATTGTTGCTTTGTATTTTGTGTTGTGTCAGCAAATGGCTAAGATAAATGAGTCTTCACAAGCAAACATTAGCAACAGAAGGAGAAAACAAGAGCTAAATTAAGACCACAGAATCTGCACATCTCCACCTCACTACAGGAAGAGCCACTGCTGAGGTCACACAGTGGAAACAAAGCTGCAGAGATGGAGGAGCACAGGTGGGTTTGTCGGTTACGACTGAGTTTAGCTGCTCACAACCTTCTTTGACAACAAAGGACAAATTTTACTGACGGTGTCCTAAAAGTTGTAATCCCAGGGGGCATCTGTAATAGGAGCTTCACATACAATATTTGGCTGCACTTAAAAATTATTTTCACTGTTGGGTTATTGTGTCAGTTATTGCTTGTTTTGATTGGTCCAAAACCCAGCGTTCAAGTCAGACTGATGCAAAACAGGGAAAACCATCAAACCTGAACATTACTGTACAGTATTTGGAACCAGAAGGTATTTTCTATTTTCCTTCATAAATAACTTACAAGACTTATTCTTTATTAGAACTGTTGCTGCTTGGTTTTCCACATATCATCTAACTGATTAATCATTGCAGCAGCAATGGAATAAACCAAGAAGAAAGTGTTTGAAATAGTTCAGAATTTTTTATTTATTTATTTTTTGAGTGACATTAAGTGGTAAAATGTTCAAGTCAATCTTAATTTAAGCAAACAGTATTCAAAAGGTTGCACATTGTAGCTTTAAAAGCTGTTGGATAAGTCCTGGCTTGATTTTCAAAGCACATTCAGAGCTATAGAACTATAAAACTATAAAAGGACCAAGGACCTCTCTTGTAGTACATGCACAGATTTCAGTTTCAGTCTGGAATTGCCCTCAAGCATTGGCCAGGAGACTCCTGGAATTGTCATAGGCCTAACAGAAAAATCAAAATTCAATCTGAGATTTTTTGTTTTTTTAAAAACTAAATTATTATACCTTTGTTAAAGAATAGACACATTTAGAGAGTGAAAAAATGTCATCTATCATTAGATCTGCTAAATTGTGACTGCCTCATTGTCACTGGTGGAAGAAATACTCAGATCCCTTACTTAAGCAAAAGTAGCAACACCACAGTGTAAAAACTCCATTACAAGTAAAAATACTGCATTCATAATGTTTCTTTTTTTGGCAGTGGCAGATTTTAAGTGGCAAGTGGCAAAAAACATGGCTTCTTACAAAAACACCTCTAAAATGTCAAATTTTACGCACGGACAGACGCATGCACGTACTGACGGACACAGAGACACACGCACAAACACACACACAACTCATGGAGTGCGTATGAGCAAATCTGAGCACATCCGAGCTGAAGATGAGACGAGATGAGACGAGAGGAGTCAGCCATGCACGAATGCGTTTTGATTCAGATCTTGAATTATAAAACACAGAATATGAAGGTGGACACAGACAAACCTGCATGGTTATTTTTATGCAGCTAGAATTGCGTAGGCACGTGCACATCTGAACATGCGCATAAACACAGTTATGCAAACAGACACACACACACAAACACAAATCATATTGATATAACACACAATAGAGACCACTATCATTTTCAGTCATTTTAGTAAGTTATCCTTACAAAAACAGGGAAAAATAGTGAAATTTAGATGAATTTGCATGCAGGGTTTGAAAATGGTCTTGTGTCACCATCTGCTATATTTCTTCTTCTTTTAACCCTCATGTAGACTTATGGGACTGGTGGTAACATTTGTGTTTTATTTTTCAAGCCATTTTGGCTGTGTTGAATGAATGTAGCTCAAATTTGCTACAGGTTATCTATTTTTTAAAAAGTTAAAAATTGAGGTCTCGCTTCCTTATATTTGCCTAAAATGGCTAAAATAAAATAAAAATACATATGTACCTAGGTTACTGTTACTCACCATTAATATACAGATTAAATACATGGAAGGAAAATGCCAGAAAAAATACAAATTGAAATGGAAGGCAACTCTGGAGCACCAATAGAGAAACTGAAATTGCATGATTTTAATTAAATGTCTTAGGCTACTTATCTTTTCGTAGGGATTTTGCATCACCAGCCTTGTGCCTGGCTTTGGGTTTTTGTGGTGATGAGGTGCTGAATGAATGCTGTCATCTGATTGGGTTTTATTTTCATATTTTGATGATATGAAAGGTCAGAATTATCTAACTTAGTGCTGCACCTCTGTCTCTCTGTGGCTGCTAGACTTAATAAAGTCTGTCTTTTTCGCTCGATCATGCACTGAGCATATAGCATTGGCCACCCTACCCTGGAATGCTGTTAGGCATCTGGAGATTTACAGTACGAGCATTTGGGAAGGATTGCTGTATTGTGGGACAGGCCCAGGCAGACAGAGGCGTGGGAAGAGCTCTGCAGGCTCAGCAGGTCATGGTATGAAAGGACATGAGAGGAGAACAGAAATGTCTGGGGAGTGCTTTTTCCCTCGCAACCGGAGGCCTGGAGGTGTTGGTGGTGGGATGTATAATTGTTTGTACAATGACAGTGTATCTTTTCTTGGTTTCATGCCCACATTTTACTGGTAACCTACTCTGCATTTAACTGCATACAACAGTTAATGGAAATATGGCTTCCTGGCAGGAAACTGTTAAATGAAAAAGAGGTTGCCCCCTGCCAAGACTGGCGTGTTGATACTGGGTATATTTAGATCCCAACTATAACAAATTGCAATTGCGTGTGCACAGCAGTTTAATATTGATAAAGCATCATATGATTTTTGAAGAGTTTGGTTTATTTAACTACTGTTTTTTTGTTCACACTACAAGCTGAGGAAGAAAACATGATTTCTCAGAAACAAAGTCACAACTTGTGGCTACAACATAAACTTCTGGTTTCTAACATTACCCAGGAATGTCACATGGTTTTATTTTAAGTAAGACTGAAGATATTGTTGAAATCAGATACAGGGAAGCTCTTTTATATTTGCTAAACTCTAGTAAAACTGACCTCACAATGGATTAATGATGGGTTATTGGATAGTGAGAACTGCCAAGGATACACATTGTGTTGTAAAAGAAGACTTTTTTTGCCTGTGTTTAAAGTATCCTTAGAAAGTAGACAAGCCTTATGAGCCTGTTATGATCTGTTACTGCTATAAATGCAGCCACCTCAGCTATTTAGGTCATTGTGTCAGATTTGCAGGGAAACTGCTGGATTCCTTCTGGGCACCAAACACTGCTTTTACTTCAGAGCAAAAAAGCCAAAGCCAGTCTAGAGTCTTCCAGTCTCTAGTAACAGCACATTGTGGAAGGAGAGAAAGGCCAATGGAAATATCATTACTAATGTGTTTATTCTCTTCTGTGGAGGGAAGCATGGACAAGGCAGGCAAGGCTATTGGGAAATGTGGAAAATTCATTAGAGCAGATTTTAGGCAGAGACTGCTAATCCTGTCCATAATCCACTTCAGAGACTTCATTTGACAAAGTGATATGCTGTAAACTGAGCTCTGAGGCATTGTTGCTGAAAGTGCTTGCACGGCATAAATCACACCGACAGTGTTGAGAAACGAGCTTCACTAACTGAACAGATGTGTGCAGTGTTTGATTTTGCTGCAACAAACTGATGGAAAGGAACAAGTGTCCCAGTTAT